GGAGTAACCGGATCTGGCCAGGAGGGCCTCCGTCGGATTAGATCAGGCTGGATCGAGAAGATGGGAACGGGATCTGAGAGGGAAGAGACAGAGAAAGAAGGCAGCAAAGAGAGGATTGAGTGGATGAGGCGAGCAGAGACAGGGAGGATCGGCTAGGGAGCAAGGAGGGGGCGAGGAGAGGAGGCAGAAGAAGAGGTGGGGAGGAAGGAGATCGGCATCACGCCAGTCGCCGGAAGTCAAGTCTTCCACGGCAGTCCACCCGGGTCGCCCTCTTCTCCAATCGGCGCTAGTGTCGTATCTCTGCACCGGCGGGGCCAGTTTTTCCACACAAAAAATGTTGACATGACTTTTAAATCTATAGCACCATAAGAATTGAATAAGTATACATATCAATTGTCTACGTAATAATTATACAAATTTGAGATTTTCTAATTGTAAAAAATGTCTTCTGTGAAAATCAAATTGTTCAGTTGCAAACTAAAATACGTTGTAACTAGCAAAGTAAACCACCAATTGGCATGACTACATGTGTTATGTATATTTAGAGTTGTAGTTTTCATATATATTATATTAATTTTGAGATTTTTTAAAGCGTTAGATCGCAAATCAACTGTGAACAATGTGATACTGAATTATCTACCAATATATTTTTTAACAAGTCAAATGCTCAGTGATAATTCTTTGTTTAAAATTATAGGTGTTAATTTGAAAGGATCTAGGCCATTAAATATATTTCTTCAAATATATCAATTTTTCATGACGACCCTCATACAAAATATGTTGTCATATCTTTCAAAAAATATACAGTTTGTCTAATTCACATCTAGATGTTTTTTAATGATGTCACATCTAACCTCCTAAAAATAACTACGCAGCAACAAGAAATAAAAAAAAGCTGGGACAAAAAAAATAGACCACAAACATAGTGCTTATCAGGTTAGATGTGACATAACTATGTCACATCTAGATGTGTCCTAAACAGACCCAAAAATATATCCACCATGCAGGCTATACATATAAACAGATTAAATGTAGTCATCATACTTATACATGTAAGATTCTTTGAATTTGGAACAGTAGGTTATTTGGTAATTTCACTAGCGTATAGAACTGGATGTGCGGAGTGACAGAAGACGTATCATTGGATTTACTAGATACTATACTTGGGGCAACAATCCTCTCCAACATGTGGCTATGGCTTGAACCTATGAGTAAGTACAAACAAAGTGAAACATTTACGTTGATTGTTAAAGCAAAGCACACAGTGGATGCGACCAGGTGAAATAAAGTTTCTTATGGCATAGGCAGTGCACAAACTACAACTTTGGGCCATAATTATATGGAAACAACAAAATGAAGAAATATTACATTTTTACACAGGGGAGATCTCGTATTATAATCTTGATATGCAAATACACGGACACACGATATAAGAATAGAGAAGGTACATCCAACATAATAGGTGCTAAGTGACAATTCATAGTGAAAATATAAAAACACTAAAAAAAATCCTTATAAGATTGAAATAATTACAAATTATTTGTTTTCTCCAGATATACCAAAGAGATATGGCTCACGTACAATAGCCAACTCAACCCTGCCATCATGTTCAAATCACACCTAAACCTCCAAGTCAGCATACACCTATGTTCGTTGCGATAAAAGTTTTGGTTAATTTGCACAACCGGGATAGAGAAGATAATGATGCCGTTGTAGTCAGGCTTAGGATATGATGTGGCAAATAATAAAGCCAAAATGGGCCGAACAAAATTGAGTCTGTGTGCCTAGCAATTTCGTAGACCAAACAAAATTGGGCTTGCTTCATAGAGAACTGCATAAGGGTATTTGGATTACACATTTAGACATGTTTTTTTCAACCCTAACAAATGCTTATTATGAATTGAGTTCCCTTGAATTCGAATGTCACGCTTCATTATATAACAACTTTAAGAAAAAACGTATGCACATTTAAGATAGCAAATGAAATAGTAAAAAAACACATGATGAATCTAGCCACGTATTTTGCGCGGGCTATTCCACTAGTTGGCAAATAAAATGGAATACAGCCTGACACCTGAAACAATAGGCAAAGTACTTGCTGAAGAGAGTTTGTACCAAACCCAAGGCCAGTGAATTCAGATGGGACACTTCAGCTAACCAAGAAAGTCAAATATACAAACACAAAACAGTAGGGCAAGATCAATAAGGAAGATTTCGAAATGCAAAAGAGCAATTTAGGCAAGGAAGGCTGATTAAGAATATTGATTTTTCCTTATCAGACAATCCAGCATTCAGTTTATATTTCTACAAAAATATTGAAGTTTAATCAGCTAATGAATAGACATGCACAACCAAACTTTATAATTGGCATGCCAACGCCACATATTCGACGAATTTTACACAACGATTAACAGTTATATCTCTGTTTTATCTAGGAGATGCTAATAATGCATGCCAAACAGATACTCACCAGAGCTGTCATAAACATCACAGTCCACAGAAGAACATGCATTGAAGATGTTGCATATCTTTGCGCATCCATCATTACTTGCCGAGGTCTCCTCTGACAGCTTCACGATCATTCTTTTTAACATCGGTGCACATCCGAGTATCAATTTAAGTAAATCAAACTCATGATCCTCTCCTTCTAAGCCATTGAACTCCACTTCTTCGAGAGCAGCCAAGCAGATAATTTGGGACTTCCAGTTCGGAAACTCACAAGGACAAAGTGGCGTGCATCCTTCTTTCATCTAAAACCCAAAAAAGTTGAATAACCACACAATGTATTATTGGGGTATATAATCAGTTGGGGTTATAAGCAGAGCACAGAATTACCGCTGATCTCTGTAGGTCGACCTTAAGCCTCCGCGTAGCAGTACGAATCTGATCCATCCCAAGGAGATGAAACACAAACACTCCAAAAGCATGCCTCTTTGCTGTGAGATGCAGCTCTAAAACAGAGAAGGCGGCAACCATATGTTTCTCTATCTCCTGCGCGAAGTTGCCCGCCTCGGCGTGAAGAAAAGACGTGTCCTAAAGAAACAATTTGCAAAGATATATATCATTCACAAAATTAATTTACTAAGAGTTTGCAGTAGATAGAGCAGTCGAGGGGACGCACCGCGTAGGCATGAATTTGCAGCGAGGATAGCTGTCCTTGTTTGTCTGCCGTCTGTAGCTGCAACTTGTTGATGCCCCAGAGACCAAACACAATATACGGCCCCGAGTAGTAGCAGTGCCACGAAACCTTTTCCACCAATGGTGTCAAGAGAGTGATGCTGATCAGCTTCTTTGTTCTAAATGACATGGTCAATTCCTTCAGCGCTGGCGCAACGATGTCGACTTGCTGTGTCAAGCTGAGCTCGCGGTACACAACAAGCTCCTGCAGCGACAGGGAATTGACCCTAATGTCGCACTTGTGGTTAGGAAACAAGACCCTGCAGACGCGGAGCGTGCGCAAGCGCGGACAGCAGGAGAGCCAGGCGTCGAGGTCGGTGCTGCAGTATGTCAGGGACAGCGCCTCGAGTGCTGGGAACTCGGCACCGTCCGGCAAGCGTAGGGAGTAGGGGGAGGGAAAGCCCAGCGCGATGGAGGTGGCGCCGTCCAGGCGAGGCAGGTCGACGGCGAGACGGAAACGGCCGATTAAGTAGGCAGGAAGGTGGAAGACGAGCTTCTCTGGCGCGAGCCGCGCCGCGGCCCGGAGCAGCGAATTGACGACGGCCCTGCCTACCTGGTCCTCGTTGGGGATGGCCAAGACGCTGCGCCACCGCTTCTGGGGGACGCGGATTTCGAGGAGGGTAACCGCTGGCGGGGGAGGAGGGACGCGGCCGAGCGCCGCCTCGAGCGAGAGGAAGGGCACGTCGCGGAAGATGATCTGGCGGAGACGGGCCCAGAGGCCGCGCCACCGGCGGGAGAGGACGCCAGTGCGCGCGGCGGCGCCGGCGCAGGGGAGGCGGGCGAGGATGTCGAGGAGCAGGTCGTCGGGGAGGGCGCTGATGCGATCCGCTCCGTCGTATGGGCCATCCGGCTCCTGGGTGGAACTCCGGCGAGGCCCCGAGGTCGGCTCCATCGAGGCCCGGATCTCACCTCCGACGGCAGTGACAAGGAAACCCTAGAATTATGCTACCGGTGGGGACTGAGCAAGTAGTACCGAGCTTCGGCCAACATTCCACATTTCCACTTCCGGTCCATTGTGCTCCGTCCAGCCCAGCCCAGCGTTGGTTGGTGTGTGCTATCTCCTATCTAATTTTCACTAGTAAAATGCTCGTGCGTTGCTACGGACAACATTGTCATAATATTTCTAGCTTCATATAGATGCAAAGATAAAAGCGTTGATATGATTAAAGAGGAAAAAATAAGGCTTCCATGAAAACACAATGTAATTCACATTTCCCAGGAAGCAAGAGAAGTAAAATCACTACACTAAATCCTATTATGATGAACCATTTATGCCGAGATATATACAGAGCAACACATAGACTAAAGTTAAATCTAGCAAAAAGGGGATAATCATATCTCCACTCAAAGCATGATTTCATACATTTGCCACTGGAGTAAACCCCAGATTAAACAATGTGGTAGATAGTTGTTTACGTGGATGCTGTCAGAAATACACCAAATTTTGCCAAGAAACATAGACACCAGGAGAAAAAGCGGTTCTCTTTCAGTGAACTAACTGAACAAACAGACTACAACTAATAAAGTAGCACAAAGTCCGTGATGTAATTCATAGCAGGACAAGTCCGTTGATGTTATTTGCATCAAGAAAGTGGTAAAAGAGTAACACATAAATTTGATTCTTACCACACGAACACGAATTACTAGAAGCCTGCCAATCAAGTCGAGCATGGTAGTAAGAGAACTACTGTGTGAGCTAAGGAAGCAGCATCGAGGATGACACACAAGGAAATACGCTTGTCACTATTGACAAGTGTATATTGTAATTGTACTGTAATATGTTGTACGTAGTCTACCCCTAGATTTGTGGATCTCCTTGACCCGTTGGGCCTGCGTGCCTACTCTCACGGGCCGTCTCTCCCTCTCACTCGAGGCATATATGTAAAACTCCCGTAACATAATCAATTGAGATAAGGAAACAATCTTCCAACTTGGTATCAGACTCCAGGACTCACCATGGCCGGCACTCAGCCTCCCCTCTCCGACTACTCCTCGCCGGCCGCCACATCGTCGGGCTCTCTCTCTGCCTCAACAGCGCCAGCCGCCCACTCCTCTGCGGCCTCCTCTGTTGCCTCGTCCCCGTCGTTCATCTTCGACACTGCTCCCTCGTTCCTCCCCAACTCCTCCGTCGCTTTTGGATCTCAGGTTGCTCCCCTCTTCAACTCCAGCACACCACCCTCCATCGCCCACCTGCTCCTACCACGCGCGGCTCCATCTTCCACGACCATATCACCAACCACATCAAATTCCTTCTCAATCCCGCTAATCACAACTACCACAAATGGAAGACCTTCTTCCTCATGGTGTTGGTTCGCTATGGCATCACCTACCTCATCGAGCACCCACCACCACCCAACGCCCCCTCCCATTATCTTGAGTTGGATGCCCACGTTGTCTTGTGGATCTACGCCACTCTCTACGACACCATGTGCGATCATGTCGTCGGCGCCACCACCACCTTTGCCCTCTGGCACATGATCAAGGACTACTTCCTCGCCAACTGCGCCGCCCGCTTTATGATCCTCAACCGCCAGTACCGCAATCTCAAGCATGGGGACCTCTCCGTCTCTGAGTACGCGCGTACTACCTCTTGAGCACTGCGTTGGTTTTCCCCAAAGAGGAAGGGATGATGCAGCAAAGTAGCGTAAGTATTTCCCTCGGTTTTTGAGAACCAAGGTATCAGTCCAGTAGGAGGCTACGCGCGAGTCCCTCGTACCTACACAAAACAAATAAATGCTCGCAACCAACATGATAAAGGGGTTGTCAATCCCTACACGGCCACTTACGAGAGTGAGATCTAATAGATATGATAAGATAATATTTTTGGTATTTTTATGATAAAGATGCAAAGTAAAATACAAGCAAAGTAAATAGTAAAGGAAATAACTAAGTATTGGAAGATTAATATGATGAAGATAGACCCGGGGGCCATAGGTTTCACTAGTGGCTTCTCTCAAGAACATAGGTATTCTATGGTGGGTGAACGAATTACTTTTGAGCAATTGACAGAATTGAGCATAGTTATGAGATATCTAGGCATGATCATGTATATAGGCATCATGTCCGAGACAAGTAGACTGACTCCTGCCTGCATCTACTATTATTACTCCACTCATCGACCGCTATCCAGCATGCATCTAGAGTATTAAGTTAATGAAAACAGAGTAACGCCTTAAGCAAGATGACATGATGTAGAGGGATAAACTCATGCAATATGATGAAAAACCTTATCTTGTTACCCTCGGTGGCAACAATACAATACGTGCCTTGCTGCCCCTACTGTCACTGGGAAAGGACACCGCAAGATTGAACCCAAAACTAAGCACTTCTCCCATTGCAAGAAGGATCAATCTAGTAGGCCAAACCAAACTGATAATTCGAAGAGACTTGCAAAGATAACCAATCATACATAAAAGAATTCAGACAAGATTCAAATATTGTTCATAGATAGACTTGATCATAAACCCACAATTCATCGATCTCAACAAACACACCGCAAAAAGAAGATTACATCGAATAGTTCTCCACAAGAGAGGGGGAGAACATTGTATTGAGATCCAAAAAGAGATAAGAAGCCATCTAGCTAATAACTATGGACCCATGGGTCTGAGGTAAACTACTCACACTTCATCGGAGGGGCTATGGTGATGATGTAGAAGCGCTCCGTGATTGATGCCCCCTCTGGCGGAGCTCCGGAACAGGCCCCAAGATGGGATCTCGTGGATACAGAAAGTTGCGGCGGTGGAATTAGGGTTTTGGCTCCGTATCTGATCGTTTGGGGGTACATAGGTATATATAGGAGGAAGGAGTACGTCGGTGGAGC